TCCATCCTTCCGAGGTGGGTAAAATGAGGACCCGGATTGTTGTTGGGGACGATATGCTGACTCTGTAAACCGCTTAGAGAGGGCTGAAAGCCCTAGGAAGTGGTATATAAGTCTAACTGCTATTGCTATTGAGTCGGCTTTGAGCCGATCAGGATCAAACTCCTGGCAGTGGGCAGAGTTTTTGCCTGCAATGCTGCACTCTAACCACAGGAAGGAGAACGAGAAAGGGAATAAGGAAGGAGGGAGGAAGGAGGGAGGGAGGGAGGGAGGGAGGAAGGAAGGAAGGAAGGAAGGAAGGAAGGAAGGAAGGAAGGAAGGAAGGAAAGAAAACAGCATGACAGAATAACAGATTTGGAAGGGACCTTGGAGATCTTCTAGTCCAGCCCCCTGCCCAAGCAGGAAACACTACATACCATTTCAGACATCTCTAAGTTGACCCTCGCAAGGAAACCTCATCTCAAAACAACCTTTTTCATACTTCCTTACCTTCAATTCTCTGCATTAAATCGTTCTTTGGTAGCGTAACGACTTCCACGAACTCTGAAGAGGAAAAGAAAAAAGGAAAGGAAAATCCTGGAGGTGATGGAATTAATGCCATCCTCCATCACGCTGATTTCTTTTATTCCAAAATGTCATTTTTGGCCCCTTTTAGCATCTCAAAGGACATAATCTTTGCAGAGAATATTTCTAGCTCGGGGCTTGAACCGGTGGCCTCTTTGATGCTCTCTGAGCTTGGTGGTTTTCGTGCAGAGGTTTCATCCCCAAGGCAAAAACATCTGCAGGAAGCTGGATCTCCTCAACCAGTTAGAATCAGGTTTCTAACTCGGAAACATTTTTTTTTTTTAATGTATCCCCCCCCCCCCGATCCCTATATACAGGTAGTCCTCGACTTACGACCAGAATTGAGCCCGATTTCTGTTGCTAAGCAAGGCAGTTGTCCAGTCAGTTTGGCCCCCATTGCATGACCTTTCTTGTCACCGTCGTTAAGCGAATCACTGCAATTGTTCAGTTATTAAGATGGTGGTTAAGCGAATTCGGCTTCTCCATTGATTTCGCTGGTCAGATGGTCGCAAAAGATGATCACGGGACTCTGCGACCGTCATAAATATGAGTCGGTTGCAAAGCATCTTGAGTTTTGATCACATGACACACCCCCGGGCTGCAACGGTCGTAAGTGTGAAAAATGGCCATAACTCGCTTTTTTTTGTGCCGTCACAACCTCAGACTGTCACTAAATGAACGTTGTAAGTCGAGGACTACCTGTTCATGCATTTTATCCCGTTGCTAACAAAAGACCAGCGATGCGCAAGACGACCTCAAAAAAAAATACACAATTTCTGATGACGAAGAAGGATATTAGCGACTGCAAAAGACGAGCGAATTCGAACCCGATGCTGGGACTCGGAAGGAAATTGAGAATATCCGTCTCGGGTTCCCAGCCAAAAAGGAACGGAACAAGGGAACGTACCTCCTTCCTCTGTAGGGGAGAAAGAGAACATAAAGGTCACAAAAATAAGACCCGGGCTAAATCTGAACTGTTGTGTATATTTTGCACAAGGGTCTCACACCCCTCTCTCAAATGGCGTTCAACACAACCCTACTACGCCTCTGATGTTCGAAGTTAGAGAACTTAGGATAACTTTCTTTTTGCAATTTATTCCCTTACATACCATTGTAAGTATACAGTCACATAATTGTTCTTCTTCTTTACATTTGTCATTCTTATACATTTGTTATTCCATTTAATAGGTTATAATATACAATTTGGGTTGCTTCATTTACCATCCCATCCGCCTGTTGTAACACCACCTTATTTTCCCTTTCTTTTCTCCCTCCCTCCCTCCTTTCTTCCTTCCTTCTCTCCTTCCCCTTCCTTCTTCCCTTCCCTCTCCCCTACTCCTTCTCTTCCCCTTCCTACCCTCTCTCCTTCTCTTTCTCTCCCTTCCACCCTCCTCTCCTTACCTCTTTCTTCCTTCCCTCCTCTTCCTCTCATTCACTCCTTCTCTCTCCCTTTCTTTTTCTGTTGTTATAGGTGTCTCTTTCAAATCTCAAATTATGTTTCCTTGGGATGGTATTTCCGCACACCCGAATATAGTTTACTATCATTTCTTATTCCCTCTCCCCTACTCCTAGTCTTCCTCTTCTCCTTCCTACCCTCTCTCCTTCTCTTTCTCTCCCTTCCACCCTCCTCTCCTTACCTCTTTCTTCCTTTCCTCCTCTTCCTCTCTTCCTTTCTTTTTCTATTATTATAGGTTTTTTCTTTTCTCCCTCCCTCCCTTCGCTACTTTCTTCCTTCCTCCTCTCCTTCTCCTTCCTTCTTCCCTTCCCTCTCCCCTACTCCTCCTCTTCCTCTTCCTACTCTCTCTCCTTCTCTTTCTCTCCCTTCCACCCTCCTCTCCTTTCCCTTTCATTTTTCCCTCCCTCCCTTCGCTACTTTCTTCCTTCCTCCTCTCCTTCTCCTTCCTTCTTCCCTTCCCTCTCCCCTACTCCTCCTCTTCCTCTTCCTACCCTCTCTCCTTCTCTCTCTCCCTTCCACCTTCCTCTCCTTCCCTTTCCTTCTTCCCTTCCCTCTCCCCTACTCCTCTCTTCCTCTTCCTACCCTCTCTTCTTCTCTCTCTCCCTTCCACCCTCCTCTCCTTCCCTTTCCTTCTTCCCTTCCCTCTCCCTTTCTCCTACTCCTTCTCTTCCCCTTCCTACCCTCTCTCCTTCTCTTTCTCTCCCTTCCACCCTCCTCTCCATACCTCTATCTTCCTTCTCTCCTCCTCTTTCCCTTTCTTTTTCAGTTGTTATAGGTGTCTCTTTCAAATCTCAATTTATGTTTCCTTGGGATGGTATTTCCGCACACCCGAATATAGTTTACTATCATTTCTTATTCCCTCTCCCCTACTCCTAGTCTTCCTCTTCTCCTTCCTACCCTCTCTCCTTCTCTTTCTCTCCCTTCCACCCTCCTCTCCTTACCTCTTTCTTCCTTCCCTCCTCTTCCTCTCATTCACTCCTTCTCTCTCCCTTTCTTTTTCTGTTGTTATAGGTGTCTCTTTCAAATCTCAAATTATGTTTCCTTGGGATGGTATTTCCGCACACCCGAATATAATCTAGTATCATTTCTTATTCCCTTCTCTTCGCTAATCCATCCTATGGTTTTTTTTTCCTTTATATCTCGCTCTTGAATATATACTTGTATATTTAATATTTTCTTTTCTGTTTTCCCCCTCTTCCCCCCCCTTCCCATTTAATAGTGCATCGTCTGGGTCCCAGAAAAAGGGGACAATATTTCTTTTTTTAAAAAAGTTTTTTCTATTTTTTATTCTCTTACAATTATAGGTATACATTCACATAGTTATTTTTCTTCTTTACATGTGTCATTCTTATGCATTTGTTATTCCATTTAAAAGATTGTAATATATTTATTATAATTGAGTTGCTTTATTTACCATCCCATCCGTCTGTTTTGACACCACCTTCTTTTCCCTTTCTTTTCTCCCTCCCTCCCTTCTCTACTTTCTTCCTTCCCTCCTTTCCCTTCCTTCTTCCCTTACCTCTCCCCTACTCCTAATCCTCCCCTTCCTGCCCTCTATCTTTCTCTCCCTTCCATCCTCCTCTCCTTCCCTCTTCCTTCCTTTCTTTCTCTTCCTCTCATCCTCTCTCCCTTTCTTTTCTCCCTCCCTCCCTTCTCTACTTCCTTCCTCTTCTCCTTTCCCTTTCCTTCTTCCCTTTCCTCTCCCCTCCTCCCACTCTTCCTCTTCCTACCCTTTCTCTTTCTCTCCCTTCCACCCTCCTCTCCTTCCCTCTTCCTTCCTTCCCTTCTCTTCCTCTCATCCTCTCTCCCTTTCTTTTTCTGTTGTTATAGGTGTCTCTTCCAAATCTCAATTTATGTTTCCTTGGGATGGTATTTCCGCAAACCCAAATATATTTTGGTATCTTAGAATAACTTAAAATAACTTTATTGTCACTTTGAATGTGTATTGATCGGCATACATTACAAACGAAATTTCATTACATACACCTCTCCAAGGGTCACCACCTCCAAGATACCCTACATAAACAGGGCTAAAATAAATACCGTATTTTTTGGAGTATAAGCCACAGTTCCCCCCTCCCAAAAAAAGGGTGAAAATTTGGGTGCGTCTTATACACTGAATGTAGCCCCACCCACCCGCCGCCCCCCACCCTTCGGCCTCCGCATGTCCTTTCAAACAGCTTCCAAAAGCTCCGTTTGCAAACTGCTCGTGCTAAATGATGTGCCCGTGGGGATGGCCGCAGTGGTCGTAAGTGTGAAAAAAGCAGTGCTAAGCCACTTCTTTCAGTGCCGCTGTAACTGTGAAAGATTGCTAAATGAACTGTTGCATGTCGAGGGCCATGGGGAATGCAAAAGATTGGAGAATTAGCACTGCAGAACCCGGGCTGCAAAAAGACGACCGTCCACTAGGTGGCAGCAAAGATTAAGCCTATTCTGTATCTCTGCTGCCCTCAGGTGGTCTGTGGGATATTTAGGGCCAGATCTGGGAGTTTTACAAGAGTGGTTTTACAGTGGCTTAGAGGTGGAGCTCTCGCCTCACCATCAGGAGGCTGTGAGTTCGATCCTAAGTAGAGGCAGCTATTTCTCTCTCTAAGCACACTGAGAATATACCTGTTGAACAAAACTCCGCTCTGGTGACATGAAAGGCATCCGGCCAGTAAAAATCAGCTCCATTCATCATTAAAAGAAGATGATCTGGGAGCTTTACAGGATCCATAGTTCATGGATTCAGCCATACTTCGATATCGAAGTGTGTCCGTGGCAAGTTTGAGATCCCCAGTAAATACACCCCAAAATAAATCAAAAACCACCGGACCTTCATGGACCTTGGAAATGTTCATTTGGGAGAAGGACAAAAAGAAAGGAAAGTTAAGTAAACACCCACCGGGCTTTTGTTTCGGCTTCAGGTTGACCGGGAGGTCTCCGTTGATGGTGACGGTCGCAATGTGTGACGCACAATTTGTCAGCCCAGGATCTAAGCACAAAGCTGGGGAAAAGCATTTGACATTCAGTTACACGGAAAAGAAACCCATCATTCTACCCTCATTTCATGGGGGGGGGGGGGAAATGACACAATGTTTTGTGTAAGCCGACCTGGAATGAAGGAGAAACTTCCTAACAGTGAGCACAATTAACCAGTGGAACAACTTGCCACCAGAAGTTGTAGGTGGTCCATCACTGGAGGTGTATAAGAAGGGACTGGACAAACATTTGTTTGAAATGGTACAAGATCTCCTTCTTAATCAGGGGGTTGGACTAGAAGACCTCCAAGGTCCCTTCCAACACTATTATTTTGTTATTCTGTTTTCCTTCCTTCCTTCCTTCCTCCCTCCATCACTGGAGGTTTTTAAGAAGAGATTGGACATCCTCTTGTCTGAAATAGCATAGGGTCTCCTCCTTGAGCAGGGGGTTGGACTGGAAGACCTCCAAGGTCCCTTCCAGCTGTATTCCGCTTCAGAAAACTCTTTATTGCTACCTCTTCAACGTGTCTAGCATGAAATCACCAACTTTCTCCCGTCAACAATACCCGTTTCCCGATTTAGAAACATAATCACCTGGATTTAATTGGACTAATTAAGTGCTATTAAGGGGGCGGTAATCTTAAGTAACTGGACGGGTAGATTTTCTCCAAGAGATCTGCTTCTTATCCTGCAGGGCCTCTCAGTGATAAACAAAAAAGAAGAAGAAATGCTCAATCTTTCCCCTGGTGCAGCCCACAAAGCAAGAATAGCCCGTGGCTTAGAGGTTAATACATCTACCTAATATACGCAAGCAGCCCAGGTTCGAATCCCAGAAAGGGCATGGCTAGCTGGAAAGAGCTAAATGGCTTGAAACACATCTATCCTAAAGGTAAAGGTTCCCCCTGCACATATGTGCCAGTCGTTCCTGACTCTAGGGGGCAGTGCTCATCTCCGTTTCAAAGCCGAAGAGCCAGGGCTGTCCGAAGACGTCTCCGTGGTCATGTGGCTGGCATGACTCAACACCAAAGGCGCACGGAACGCTGTTCCCTTCCCACCAAAGGTGGTTCCTATTTTTCTACTTGCATTTTTTATCGTGCTTTCGAACTGCTAGGTTGGCAGAAGCTGGGACAAATCACGGGAGCTCACTCTGTTACGTGGCGCTCGGGATTCGAACCGCCGAACTACCAACCTTTCATCGTCTTAGCCACTGGTTCTAAGCCATCATCCGTACTAGGATTGGAGGAGGAAGAGGTAGAGGAGGAAGCAAAGGAGGAGTGATACTCTCGGAGCTTGGTGGTTTTCTTGTAGGTGTTTCAAGACCCAACTAGGGAACATTATCAGAGTGAGACGTCTAGAACATTGATGATGTCACCTAGTTGGGCCATGAAACATCTGCACGGAAACCACCAAGGCTCAGAGGGCACCAAGGACCTCCTCCTTTTTCAACCGGGAAGGCAGAACCCAAAGCCCACCTGGAGAACATTCCAGGATGTCCCCTTTGTAACCTGTCTCTTCTTCCAGTTCGCGGAGGGCAGCTGTCTCGGGAGATTCATTGCTGTCAATGAGGCCTGCAGTGCAAACAGAGAACCGGCGTTACAGGCAGCTCCACCGAAAAGAACGGAATGGACACCATGGGGCCATCGGGGCTCAAAGCAAAGTGGGGGGCCTCTTAGCTTCAAGAGAGAGACATTGGGGGGGAAACAGGGAAGGAGAGGAGAAGGGGGGGAGGAAGGGAAGGAAAGGAAAAAGGAAGGGAAGGGGTAAAAGAGACATGGAGGAAAGGAAAGGAAAAAAGGAAAGTTCAGTTCAGTTCAGTTCAGTTTATTAAATTTATATGCTGCCCTTTTCCCCCGAAGGGGACTCAGGGCGGCTCAACTCGAACTGGGGAGGGGGATACAGACAAAAAGAAAGAAGAGACATGGACAAAAGAAAGGAAAGAAATGGAAGAAGAGGAAAATGGAAAGGAAATAAAAGAAAGGAAAAGAAGAAGAGGAAAAGGGAAGAAAGGAAAGAAAGGGAAAAGAAGGAAAAAGGAAGGGAAGGGAGAAAACAGACATGGAGGAAAGGAAAAAGAGGAAAGAGGAAGAAGAGGAAAAAGGAAAGGAAAAATGAAAGGAAAGGGAAAAGAAAAGGAAAGAAAGAAGAGGAAAGGAAAGAATGGGAAAAGAAGGAAAAAGGAAGGGAAGGGAGAAGAGACATGGAGGAAAGGAGGAAGGAAAGGAAAGGAAAAATAGAAAGGAAAGGAGGAAGAGGAAAAAGGAAAGGAAAAAGAGGAAAGGAAAGGGAAAAAGGAAAGGCAGAAGAGGAAAAAGGGAAAGGAAGAGAGAAAAAGAGAAGGAAATAAAAAGGAAAGGGGAAAGAAAAGGAAGAGGAAACAGGAAGGGGAAGGAAGAAGAGGAAAAAGGAAAGGAAGAAAAGGAAAGGGAAAAAGGAAAGGCAGAAGAGGAAAAAAGGAAAGGAAGAGAGAAGGACATAAAAAGGAAAGAGGAAAGGAAAGGGGGAAGAGGAAACAAGGAAAAGAAGAAGAGGGAAGGGAAAGGAAGGCCTTCTGGCCCCAATTATGAAGCCCAAAGACCCACCCCCACCCCCCACCCCCAGTCCGATCTCCTACCTGCGGGGAATTCCAGGCAATAGGCTCCCAGGGGAGGCCGGAATTGCTTCACCAGGACCATGCAGTCGTAGTGGAGGGTCCGTTGCAGCACCGGAATGACGGCCACACCTGACGAGAGCAGAAGCCGGGGAAAAAAGCATCACCGAAGGGGCCACG